CGAGCGGCCGGCGGCGGCGGAACGAGGCGACGCTTCCGCCCGCCGCCGCACGCGGGCGCCCCCTGCCGGGGAGGAGGTCCGAACGCCGAGGGCGCCGCGCTGTGCCCGGGGCGGGGCAGTCGGGGCGGCCCGGCTCGGTCGCCGCGGCGCGGCGCTGGGCCGAAAGGTTCAGGAGGGCCTGAACCTGCCGCGGCGGAGCCTGGAGGGGCAGAGCGGCGGCTGGGGCACCGCGCGGCCCCGCTGCCGTACGCCGCGTGTGGCGGGCGCAGATGATCCCGGCCGGAACAAAGGCACGCACGTGGCGTCCGTTAGGTGTAATCCGCACCATAAGTTTAAAGCGGAAAAATAAAACGTGTTTTTATGGAGCAAGACGCTAACTTCTTGCAAGCTGCGATTTTCGATGCAAACTTGCACCTGCGTGCCCGGTGTGTTCACTGCCGAGCAGCAGCTGAGGTGTGCCGGGGGCTCCGTTTTCTGAAAGAGATTTGGAACTGAAGGAATTGAAGAGACAGCCGATGCCTGTTGGCGTCCCCACGGAGGGAAATCACACACAGCAGCCACCGCCTCCAGTCTGAACTTGAAGGAATGGATGGGAAAAAATCTGACGTTCAGTTTTCTCTTCTCCCCAGTTCCTATGGCTCTCCTGCCCTGCATCTGGCAATCTCCAGCTCCAGAGCCACGACGAAGCCTGGAGAGAAGTGTGAAGGCTGATTGGAGCCTCAAGCTGGTGACAGGTAACTGGGTGTTTCTCTGTGAAAGGAGTGGAAATGGGAGGTAAGAGAGAGAACTCATTTCCTGGAGAGAATGTGGATTCACTCAAGCCATCATGAGGTGACCGGGCAGGTGACAAGGAAAAGAAAGTTCCATAATGACACCTGAATTATTGCATTGGATTTTCCCCTGCACCTACGCACTGCTCTTTGGACCTGAAGGCAAAATTCTCATCCCCAACACCAAGCTAGAAGACTAAACTAAACTAGAAACTAAAAACAACAAAAAACAACACAAACATGCAAAATAAGACTTCATACCCAGATAACAAGTACAGCAGCAACCATTGGCCCAGGAAACACACAGCTCAGCAGAGCTCAGCTGATATGCCCAAGCAGTGCATTCAGCCATTGCATCATTCCATGTGTGGCATTTTTGGATCCATGTGTTCCTGTGTCTTTTTGCAGCCTGCCAGCAACATCCAGTATTTCACAGTCCAACCTCTCACCCTTGTGAGACGTTCTCATTCCTGGATCCTTTGCAAGTCATCCACCTGCAACATCCCATTCTGTTCGCTGTTCAAAGTCCCCTTGTTCTCCCTGAGATCCACTGCACTGTGCTGAAAGCAGCAGTGAGCACATTAACCATAGAAGTTTGTCACTAAAATAAATTTTTTTAAAAGAGAGATAAATCTTATGAGCACTGAGAGGACACTGGAGGGGAGATCCTAGTATTGAAAGTATTCCCCTTCTCCAAGGAGCAGTAGCAAAGGTATTTCTGGGTAACGAGCACTGAAAAAGCTGTTAAAAGACAAAATGAGGTCCTGGTGCTGTCTCTGATGCAGAGAGATGTCATGGAACCTGTGAGATGCTCTGCCTCTTTGTGCACTGCACTGCCCACATGCATCACCCTGCTTCGTCAGCTCAGGAAAGCACTTCTGACCACACCTGCAACAATCCCTGAGTCTGACAGCATCAAAGTTCATACATATTTGCATTCAGCTATATGGCTAGCTGCAGCAGTGCTGCACCCGTGGGGATATTTTCCTGAACAACTGGAAGATGGGGAAGGAAAAAAACATCCTCTTGTCATGTCAGTTCATCTCACAGGCAGACAGAGCAGCCCTGGACCTGAATGCATGGTGGAACGTGCTGCCCAGGCAGGTGACAAGGCTGCTGTGGATGGTTTGCCAGGCTTGTCTGGGCCCACAGCATGCAGTTGGCAGAATGTTGGCAGTTTGTATATCCTGTATGTGAGCTGGAAATAATTGGTTTCAAAGCCAGCTTTGAAAGGGTGTGTATGTCTGAGCTCAAATTGTTAGCGTATAGTTATGCTAAAAACATTCAAGTTTAAACAGATAATATTCAGGGTACTGAATAGAGAGAAGGAAGAATCAAAGACAAGTGCCAGTACAATGATTCAACAGAGCACCTGGAAAATAGACACTATTGCTTTGCAGATGACCACTGGAAAAAAGACCACGCAAATAATGCATTCAGTGTAATTATCATCACCATGTAGTGTACATCAAGGAAATCTGTGAGCAGGGGGAGCACGGTTCTTCCAAGTTCTCAGAAATTAAATTCAACATGTGAGGGACCTCTTGGCACAATAGCAATTCACCAGCTCACAGCCCTGACCAAGACAGCCATTGTGAATTACTTAATTCTTGCAAATTAGGAAGTGAATAAACATGACTCAAAAATTCAAGTCACTTCACTGAAGAAAAAAAAAATAGTTATAAAGGCAGCACTCAGATGCTCTGCTCTGTAGGCGCAGCCAGCTGAATGGGATCTTAAGGCTCCAAGGGCTCATTTGGCTCAGCCCAAAACCAGCCAACACATCCCTGCAAGGACACCAGACTTTCAAGGTGTTACTCTTATGAGGATGGTTTCTTTAAGACAGCAGTGATGCAACTGCCTCTAAAATATGATTTTGAAGTAACAAAATTAGCAAAAGCAGCTGATGGCAAGCTGTAAAGCAGAAGCCAAAGTTTGATTTACTTTTTTTTCACTTAAAAAAAAAAGAAAAAAGACACAGCAGCAGCTGGGGCCGGTACCACCATAGCACCAAGGCACTGCGGTTTGTTGCAGGGCCAAGTGCTGCCAGACACACAGACACACCGTGTTTCCCTCCCACCAAATATGGAGCCAAGCTGCTGAGCCACTAGCACACATTTTAAAGCCATGACGTAACGGCACCCGACCTCTTGCTGCTGTATCTGATGAAAAAGAGCTTCGGGTCTGCTCAGAGGAGCAGAGGCAGCAGCAGCCTTTTCTCTGCATCCCCTCTTCCTCCTGACAGACCCCACTGCCCCCGGGTCTCTGTCCCACCATGTCCCCAAGGATGTCCCTTCCCAAGAACCAGGGCCTGGGAATGGAGAGGAGAGCCCAGAAAAGAAGGAGGGAATGGGGAACATCCACGCAGATGGATAAGTAAAAACAGAGGGAGAACTTTAAAGAGGAAGAAAGTAGAGGACATGTTTTAAACATCTTGAACTTTGACTGTGCTGCTGACACTTTGTGGTTACTCTCATCCTTACTTGGGAACGTGGGTGCTGCCCTGCAAATGGGGATCAAGGCTTCTTTCTTAACCCCTCCTCTTCCTTAATACCTCACGCAGGGAAAGCGATTCCTCATTTTATCTTACTCTGAGATCTCCCTCGTTTCATTCAGGCAGAGGCACTGGGAACAGAGGCTAAGGGGAGCAGTAGAAAAATAGACAAGGAAGTTAGAAATAAATGCCCTTACCTCATGTATCTCACACCTCTCCACGTGGTTGGCAGGGAGAAGGTCCCACTAACTACAAGGCCAGTGTACGGGCACGACATAATGGCACATGAAAAAATAACGAGTGCCTTGACAGATATACAATGAGGAAATAACATTAACCAACACCCAGTTTACTTTTCAGTTCATGACTGCTCAGCTATGGCAATACAATGATGTAATTCAGAGGCAGACACACAGGTTTGTACCCGCTGACAAAGAATCTCATGGAAAAGGCTTTGGGGAGAAAATTTTAAGTCTCAGACCTACTCAGGTACCTTCTACTTAAAGTCTAGAAGGAAAAGAATTCTGAGTCTTTCCATGGACTTTGGACCAGGCCAAGAAGCAGTGGCTGAATCTAATCGCCCAGTTTCATAAGTGCCTGTGATTTTCCTGAAGCTGCATTTCACCCCCGCTGCACGCTGTGGCTGTTTCTGGCCTCAAAGAAACACCTGCTGGTGAGCATGTTGCTGTCTGTCTGCTCATTCAAGCAGTACGTAATGAACAGACTCATGCTCCCTAGAAAGTATTTACAACAGAAAGCATGAGTACACGGAATGGTCATCCAGATCCGGATTTCTTTTTTCTCACAGTAATGCTACGATTTGTCTTCAATTCAAGCTGCCATTTCAGAATTAAAACTTGCTTTTAAAATATGATTGCAAGTCACAGGAATTCGGAGCAGCACATAAAGTCTGCCAGAAACAGAAAAACAATTGCCAGAAAAATCATAGGAAAAAACCCCGGTTGCAAATTCATTTCCTGTACAGCAACAAGAGCAGTATGTTGCCCTTCTGAACCATATCCTTTTAATAAACTTTTTATTGCTGTAGAACAATTGAAAGTTATCTGTAAAGCACAGAATCCATTCATAGAATCAGAGAATCATAGAATGGCCTGGGTTGAAAAGAACCACAATGATCATCTAGTTTCAACCCCTCTGCTATGTGCAGGGCTGCCAACCAGCAGACCAGGCTGCCCAAAGCCACATCCAGCCTGGCCTTGAATGCCTCCAGGGATGGGGCATCCCATTTACATCCCTCTCCCTCCCACCCAGGGCTGGGTACCTCTGCCCTGGCCCTCACCACATGTGCAGCTTTGGCCAGAAGCTGACCCTCCTTTGGCACATTGCTCTTTTGCATTTTAAGGATATTTTCAGGTGAGTTTACTAATGCTCGTATTTAAACAGTGCCCATTGCACTTGTCAGCCCACACCCTCTGGGTAATACCGCTCTGCACTTACTTAGCACTTTACACCTTCAAAGGACTTTACAGAAACTAATTAATTAGCTCTCTCACCAAAGTGCTGCTACAATGAACGACATGGGATTAGTGCTATTCTGTGTGCTTCAGCTGGATTTGGGCTGCTGTGGGGCTGGGTTAGCAGCAGAGCTGCTGCAGTCTCATTTGAAACATGTCTGAGTTGAGCGACGCCAGCAAATACACAGAGACTTTCCCCAGGCCTTTTCAAAGCTCTTCTGCACCACTCCTCCTCACTCCCCTGATGACAACACAGACTCCAGATGAGGAAGGCACTCAGGATTTCTGCCTCTCTCTGCCTGGCACTGTTTTTGGTGGGGCTGAGCCCCTTCTCCAGTTCAGCATCACTCACCTGGACACCTCTGAAAGTAAATGCGTTTACACAGCTGACTTACTCAGCCCTATGCCTGAATGTGTATCTGCTGAAAATCTTAAATTTGCAGGTGTGCAAGTACACAGCTGTCTGCACATTTGTGTACACAGTGGGGAAAGTTGAGACAGGAAGAAACAGAACTTTACCTTAAAAGCTAAAACTAGGCTATATTTATAAAACTAAAAACAGATCGAAACCCACAAGAAATCTTACAGGTTTTTGCTTTAATTGTGTGTGTGTGTGTACACAAAGATTACCTTAAAGAGCAGGATGTGATTTTATGTGCAATCCAGGCTGGATTTAGCTGGTAAGGACCAGAGTCCCTGAGGCACATGCCATCCCATTCTGCAGTCTTTCTGCTGACCCACCCGGGCTGTGTAGGACTGAACCCACGAGCACAAAAACCTGACCAAGTGTTTCCTCACTTCCTCGGGTGCTGCAATCCCAGCCCTGCGGGGCCAGAAGTGAGCAGCACAAAGGAAGTGCTGTTTATGAGCCCACTGCCTTGCAGGCTGTCCTTTTGCACCCTGCAGAAGAAGCCGGTGTGCAGAAGGCTGAAGAAAACATAATGGCACAAAGGCTGCAAGTTGTTCTTCCTGCAGAGGATGAATGCTGGCCATCCCCGTTGCCTCATTCACGCTGACAAGGTATTTTGTGTCAGGGGGTCAGGATGTGGTGTCAGCACACGTATACACATGTACTATAAAAAGAAAGCTGCTATTGGCATGTGGCCAAACTGGGATGAGAGCTGAAGTTACTCATAGGCACATAGGACAGTTTTGTCTCACAAAAGCCTCTCATTCTCAGCCTCTGCAGCCTCAGGAGCCAAGTAGCAAAGAAGACACGGGCTGTGTGGGATGTGCAGAGGCTGCTACGGGTGCCCAGCTCTGGTTTTCTGACGCCCGGGAGCCAGGCACACATGCAGAAGTTGCTGTGAAAACGGAACTTGCTGGACAAACCAAGCACTTGCTGCATTATATATGAGGTCTGTCATCAGATGGCATCTGGTAACATTACACATACAGAAAGTGTGAGAAAGCCCAGAGCTGCCCTCTTGAAGAAAATGAAACCCTGGGATGCCTAATGAGGAATGTTCAAGAACTCTATGAACACTCTCTCAAAGCCCCCTGCACTCTCCCCACCATGCGTGGCTCTTCATCCCCAAACACCACTCCAGCACAGCAGGTTAGACCTTATCACTGTGTCACCACCCACACAACTTATCAGATTTTCTTCTTCCTATAACTCACTCTTGGCCTAAGAGTCCATGTTGCAACCAGCAGCTCTACAGCTGAAGAAAGCAGATAAGACTTCCTGCAGGGCCAGGAGCTCTGCTAACCTGCCAGACAGGAGACGTGTTGAGCAATGGCAAGAACGTCAGCTCATCCTTAACACAAAGGCTGGAGGGGTGTGTGTGAAAGAAAAGCTGAAAACTATTCAGCTGGTACCAGCCTTGTAATTATTCCCTATACCAGGAGTCCACTCTTGAGGATGATTCAGTCATATGATCATAGAATCACAGAATCATTAAGGTTGGAAAGACACTACGATCATCAAGTCCAACCCCAGCCCACCCCACCATGCCCACTGCCCACGTCCCTCAGTGCCACATCTCCACAGCTCTGCACACCTCCAGGCATGGTGACTGCCCCACCGCCCTGTGCAGCTGTGCAGTGCCTCCCTGCTCTTTCTGAGACGAAATGTTTCCTAATATCCAAACTGATCCAACCTGGTGTACGAGGCTGTTCCCTCTCATCTCATCGCTGTTAACCTGGGAGCAGAAGCCGACCCCCACTTCACCACCGCCTCCTGTCAGTGAGTTGCAGAGCAGGAAGGTTTCCCCTGAGCCTCTTCTCCTCCAGACCGACCCATCCCAGTTCCCTCAGCTGCTCCCCATCACACTTTGTGCCCCAGACTCTTCACAGCTTCATTCTTTGGATACTGAGCGTGCCGAGCTGGGGCAGGTGAGGATTGGAGCACTCGGTACAACAGCCAGATTGAGAGATACCAACAGCACTTCCAGAGATATCCCCTACTGCTTCTGGAGCAGGAATTCTCTTATGATGAAGACACTCCATACTGCACTACCTTATGCCTTGTGAGTCCCTCTCCATCCATAAATGCCTTTGCAGCAGGTGAACCTCTGGCCCTGCTCCTGTCCCTGTCTACCCAATGAAGAATTCCATGGGATGTTGTCCTGACAGACCACCACTCAACCACAAAGACAACAGTGAGAACATCAACTGTCAGTCCTCACCAGCGATGTGAACAAGGCTGAGGAGAAGGGACTGTCTAGTGTTAGCGTTAGATCTTGCTAATACTGGTGAGTCCTATCTGTTTCCTTTCTGCCCAGAAGGAAAACAATGACACCAAGAGGGACCAAACACTTGAGAACTCAACTTTTCAGTGTCTTTTCTTGCTTCCCTCCCCCTAGGACCATTGCTGCATAAGTCAGCAGCCCCATAACCTGCCATTACAAAGGGTCCCTGCAGCAGCCTTTCCCCAGCAAAGCCACATCTCCTCTCACTGCAAGATCTCCTGGGGCATCATGAACAAAGGCCAGGCTGGAAGTGCAGCCCTGTTCCCCCTGGCACAGGCTGACAGTGAGTAATCTCTGAACAGCACTGGTTAACATGCTGCTGTGCTGGGAGCAGTCCTACCTGCCCAGACTGTTCCCTCCTGACCTGGTGCATGCAGTCACCTCTCTGGCACTTACAGCTCTTTGCCACATTCCTCTCGTGCTGGAATCATTTGGGGAGCAAACCACCCTTGAGCGACAGAGAAAGTCAGAGCAGTGTGATTTATAGCTGTTCCAAAAGCAGCAGATATGAGCCTTTTAATGAAGAGGTTTAACCTTTCTTTTAAACCTCAACTTTGAACCAGAGCTGAACTTTTGAAACCCACCAGACTAAAACCATTTAGTCATAATGACTGAAATCACTGTGAAAACAGCCTCTCCTCTGTGAATGTTTGCTTATGGCAATGGAGATCCGGGGCCATCCCTGCCTTGGGGAGGGCGCAGTGTGTTCTGAGTCCTCACGTCAGGGCTGAGTTTTTCTCAGTGCCCTATGTGCTGGTTGTTCCCTGGCCTCACCCTTCCAGCAGCTCCAGATGCTTTGTTTCTCCCTTCACAAATGCTGCATTACTGCCTGCACCAAAAGCAAGACCTCTCCCTTAAAAACAGAAAGGGCAAAATCAAACACAGCAGCTGGCAGCAGAGGGCCAGGACACCCCTCCCACCCAGCTGTTTGCCCAGCAGCCCAGTCACTGGCACCCTTTGTGAGCAGGGACCCACACTCACAGTGTGCAGCATCCTTCTCCAACCCTGCTGACACTGCTCATTTTCCCAAGCCACAATGCATGGGGGGCTGCATTGAGTTTCTGCTGTGAGAAGCTGGGGCAGACTGAATGCCTGCCCCTACTGATAGCTGCTCTCCTAAACCTGCTCAGAGCAGCAAGCACGCTGTTACTTCTGCCTAAGCCCTGCAGCTGAGCAGCTGTGCTAACAGGCTGTATTCAGGCACCTGTAATGGTTCTGCTTAACTCCTCCCTGCTCTGCCCCCGGCTCCCAGACTATCTGGGCACTTGGCAGGAAGGTTGCAGCTCCTAAGGAAGTAGCCTGGATTTGATCTTTCCTACCCAAAAGTAAATCCAGCAGGGTGGATGCCTGGGAACTGTCTGGAGCCAACTGCTCAGAGCGACCATGCTGTCTGCAGGGAAAGGGCAGGGAAATGGTGCCTTGGACTGGGAAGGCAGTGGTGGCAGCGTTCAGGCTGGTCAAACTGGGGCCGCTGGAGAGAACTTCCTCTTCCTATCCATGGCAGCGGGGCAAGGACTGAGGGACACAATGTGTTTAAGTTATGCCATTCTCTCTAATTTCTAGCAAATATACAGCAGAAATATAGACCCCAAAAGACAGAATGGGAAACTAGAAAGCATCCCTGTGGCTCCCTCTGGTCTCCTAGGGATTGAAATTACTTGAGACATCCAGAAAAACATGTCCCTTCATCCTGGAGCCATCACAGCATTGCTGAAGAACTTGATGCATGTCGCAGCTGAGAGCACCCAGGCAGTAAACAAAGACCTGTGCTTTCAAATGAGGATCCTGCAGGCCTGGCCTACAGATGGCTGAGACAGGGTTGACATCAGCTCCCCAAGGAAGAAGCCTTTGCCTACAGTACAGTGTCAGTGCTGGGGAGGATGCTGGGGTGCAGAGAGGGGCAGCCTGCAGTCCTGGGAGCGCAGTGCTGCCTCCTCCTGGGGCTTTCCTGCCACAGGGCCTACACCCAGCAGCTCAGCAGCCCCACTGGACATCCCTACATCTCACATCTGTCTGTCTTCAGCAGGAGCTGAACTGGGTCTACAAAATGCCCTTCTGTGCAGCAATTGCCTCTTAGAGTGAGGCCTCAGCATGCAGATCACAAAGAGCATCAGCGGTCATGTATGGGACGTGGATGTCACCAAAGTGGAAGAGACCTCGGTGGCACCATTCCCTGCTTCCCAGGGACACATATTCCAACTTGAGGTGAAGTTGGCTTTGCAGTGAGAGGCACTAAAGGCCCCTTCCTGTGGCCGTTGGCTGCCCCTGCCCCAGGAGCGCTGCCCCTCTGGCAGGGCTGGGGCCACTGACCATTTCTCTGCTGGTTATTAGATTGTTCACGGCTCTCAGGTTTGTTTGAATAAGCTCTTTTGTCCTAATAGAGCTTTCCCACGTCTCTTCATTCGCTCAGCAGTCGCGTGTCCGGAGTCAAAGAGGAGCTGTGGCCACGGATTCCTAAAGGAACTTTTTTCAGAGCAAGACATCTGCGTTGGAGGGAATCTGCAAACATCTGCCACGCTTTCCCCATTTCCAAGGGCCTTTCTTTCCGTCTTAAAAACTGCAGGAACAGATGTTAAAAGTTGTTTTCTTTCTACAGGGTGTGAAATGCAGACAAATAGCAAAAAAGAAAACTCCGAGCGGCACTGACCCTTTTCCTTCTGCTTTTTGTGGAAAGCCCAGGAAAAAGGGAGGCTTTGTTTGCTATGGAGAATCCCCTTTCAGCGAAACCTGGCAGTGCGAAATGCAAAAGGGAAGCGGGAATTTGCAAAAAGCTCTCTCTTTAATGCTCCGTGCTCATTTGCATGTGCCTGTTTGGGCCATACAATCCCCAGCACAGATGTCAGGCTTCCCCTGAAAGGCAGCACGGCCCTCCCGCCCGTGCACCCCCTCGCTTGGAGCATAAAGGGTTCTGTCCTGAATGAGAGGTGTAAAATAACTGTTTACAGCAAAAGCTGCTCTTCTTTTTCACAGAAATGCTGTCTTACAAATGAACCTTGAAATGAACTCATTGCCAGCAGAAACCAGTGAGGCTCCGTGAGCAGGGGGCTTCCTAGAGCCCTGAACCTGCTGCCCAAGGGAGGAACGGGCATGGGCTGGGGCTGGGGTTGGGTACCTCTTCTGGTGTGTTTCAGAGCCTTTGGACAATACTGCATTCTCAGACACCTCTGCAATGCCCAGCTGAGCCAGGAACAGAGATGGCCTTGGGCAACCATGGGATGGTCGCTGTAGGACAGTGCGTCTTCTGTGTGAGATGTTGCTGGTGGGGGTGTGCTTTAGGAGCAGGGAAGGTGACTTCTCTTCTTCTCCACCAGCAAAGCAAAACCTGGCTAGAAGTCATGCAGCCACTTCTCCCAATTGATTGAAAAAAACCTGCAAAAAACAAAAGTTAAAGTCTTAAATGTTGGGGTTTGGCAGATGTGAAGAGCTTTCACACCAGACAGTGGAACATCCTTCCATTTTTTGTGCAGGGGACAGACCTGATACAAGGTGCCCATTCCCACTCCAGTGCTGCATCACAAAGAACAAGATACTAACTGTCCTCTCTGAGAGTAACAAACACCCATCTCAGGCTCTCCCTCATGCACCCCTACCAAGTAGGATGCTTATAAAACCGGACAACTGCATTTGGCTGACAAACAACCCCTGCCTGCACGATAACATGTCTGGGGACACATTTTCTTTATAAGCCCAGACAGTGCTGAGTGCAGACATGCTGGAAATGTTTGCATTTACACACAAACAAGCACACACACCCACACAGCGTTTAAGTGCAGGACGCAATGTCCTCGCTCCATTCCTGGGGTACATCACCACCTACGGCTGAAGGGGTGGAGTAAGGGCTCTGCAGCTGCAGCGTTGTGCTGGGTGATGGGAAATTCCAAGAGTGGATCCCGAGGGCTTTTGGAGCTTCTAAACCAACACAACTTCTTCCTGTCCATTTACATAAGGCGGCGCATTTGACACCAACTTGAAGGGCTTCACCTGGGTGACTCTGTAGGACACTGCCGGATCCTGTGGTTAGCAAAGCAGTTGTCAGAAAGCAAAAGCACAGCCATGAAAAATGCCTTCATGCTCCCCCTCAAAACCAGACAGAAGTAAGGAAACATAAAAGCATGTTCCCATTCTGTGCCAAGCCTTCTGCAAAGGCCCCTGTGCTTCTGCACTAGCATTTCAGAGGGCTGAAGCAAGCAGAAACACACCCTTCACCCAAAAACAGCAAATGCAGCATGAAAAGGGGGAAAACAAACAAGTAAAAATCCCACAGAATCAACAGGACTGCGTTCACCTCAAGGTTGGTTTGCTTCTGCAGCTGTCTGCAAGTTTAATACTAAATAGCACACAGCAACAACAAACTAGACGAGCTCTGTATTCCCTGCACATAGCTGTGTGCAACAGAGAATTCACATCCTCGGGAGGTCCGTGAAGTGCTCTCCCTGGAGGGTTTCTGTGATGGAAGCAAGGGTTCTATAGCTGCCTGCTGTCAACACTTTTTAATCGATCACTATTATCCTGCAATAACAATTCCTGCAGGAACTGGTCAATTCTCTATTGCCTGGGTTGCCAGTACTCTATTATCAAATTAAGAGGCTGCTTCAAGGACTGAAGATGCTCGAGGCTCAGGCTGGCAGGTAAAAAGCAGCGCTGGCTCAGGGGGACACAGGGGAGAAGAGAGGCAGAGACACATTTTCCCAGGTGTAACTCAACTGGGTCCCACCATTGTTTCCCTCCCTGGGAATCTGTGCAAATTGAGCAGGAGCCATGCAAGCTGCTCCGAGCACGCCCGTTTTGCTTCTCTTCTTCCTTAACAAAAGATCCCTACAAAGCAAGGCTTTGGAGGCCGGACATCTGTCGCCGTTTGGGGGGGCTGCCGCGGTCATTGAAAAGAAGCGGTGCCCTGTCAGCTTTGATTGATGGTCACAAACCTCTGGGCTCGACCCCTCGTGTGGGAAAAGAAGTCCCGCCAAGGCGAGTTCCCTTTCACATGCTAATTTTGGGTTATAAATACAGCGGAGGAGCGGAGGAGAGGCAAAGCGCCCGCCGGGACTGGCAGCACCCGCTGCCCGAGTGCCACCCGCCCCGTCCTGGCAGCGCCGGGCGGACAGCTGGATTACAATGACGGCCGCAGCCATGGCCGGCGGTGCACACAAGCTGCCCAGCACCAAGGAGGAGAGGAAGGTAGGAGCCCAGCGGGAGCCCCGCACAGGGATGGGTGCTGCAGATTGCTTGTGGGAAAGAGTGTTGTTTTTTTCTTTTTTCCTCTTACTATAAAGACGTTTTCTCTGAATTTAACCTGTGTAAATTTATTTTCTGCTTCCCTTCTCTGCCTTTTGGTTTCTGTTGGGTAAATTCAGGCTAATAGGGGTGGAAGTAAGAGAATTCAGAGCTAGCGTGACCCAAAGGACAGGCCCTTACCAGAGCTGGAGGCTCTCCATCAGTACGGACCTTAGTGAGCATCACGCCATCCCGCACTGGTTGCGCACTGCGATGTGGCTCTCCCAGTTCATGCCGACCCCAAGCTGCCCCCGTGAAACCCATGCAGTCCAGTTTCTTCCGTTCTCCACAAAAAATACATTATTGCAATTCATCCTCCTCTTGTTTAGGAGGAAGTTTTTCACCCACAGGGTGGTGAGGCACTGGAACAGGTTGCTCAAGGATGCTGTGGATGCCCCATCCCTGGAGGCATTCAAGGCCAGGCTGGATATGTCTCTGGGCAGCCTGGTCTGCTGGTTGGCAGTCCTACACATAGCAGGAGGGTTGAAACTAGATGATCATTGTGGTCCTTTTTAACCCAGGCCATTCTGCGATTCTCTGATTCTTTGATTCTCACCTGCAGTTAAGGAAACCCCTAATTGAACGGAAGCGCAGGGAAAGGATTAACAACTGCTTGGACCAGCTGAAGGAGACTGTGGTTGGTGCGTTCCACTTGGATGTAAGTGTTCATTTTGATGCAGATTATGTCCCTCTGCTGATGGAGACTGTTTGGCTTTTGGGGGGACGGGAGAGGGTCTCTGTATTTTGTGAAAATCCACAATTACCTCATGGCTTCCCAGCTCATGAACTCTTTCTTCATTAGCAGTCTAAACTGGAAAAAGCAGACATCCTGGAAATGACTGTGAAACACCTCCAGAACATCCAGAACAGCAAGCTGATTGGTAAGTGCCCCTTCTCTGCAGCCCCTGAGGCACAGGGCTGCACATTCAACCCCCAAGCAGTTCGGCCAAAGCCTCTTGCAAACGCCGCGCTGCTGCTCTGGGCTGGCTTTCACCACTAGATGGAGAGATGGAGCCGAACACATTTTAAACCACGGAAGATTTTCCTTCCACCGCCTGTTTCTCCTTTTGTTCCGTTGTGGCTCTGTCTGCCCACGGGCAGCAGGATGCTGGGGGCTGTCCGCTCCCTGCACTCTTCCCCGAGCCCTGCAAACCACGCACGTTCCTGTAAAGCATTAAACTAAGCTCAAATCCATGCAGGAATCAATCTGCTTTCTCCAGAAGTCAGTATCTGGCTCTTAAATAATAGGTGTTTCTGCATCTCCCGGTGTCTTTGAGGGGCCTCTGTGAGCACAGTGGCAGACTGGCAGGGGAATGCCTGCTAATACCCTGTGATATTGCTGCCCCAGTGGGAAACTCCACCAAGAAACCTGAGTGCTGTTACCTGCTCCAGCCCTGAGCCTAGCACTGTTCTCCCTCACGCAGAGCTTCTGTCCCCCCAGAGCAGCAAGGCACTGGCCTGTCACAGCCCCACAGTGGTATTGGTAGGAAGCAATAGGAAGCAATAGGCCCTGCATGGGCCAAAGCACACGGGGACCTGCTGAATGTGTTGAAGTGGGATGGCAGGCTTTGCACCCTTACCAACTCCAGTTGTCTCCTGTTCAACGCAGCTGACAGCAAAGTGGGCCTTGAAGCTCAGCAGAGGTACAGCACGGGATACATTCAGTGCATGCACGAGGTCCACAACCTTCTCCTCACCTGCGAGTGGATGGACAAGACGCTGGGGGCACGCCTGCTAAACCACCTGCTGAAATCCCTACCCAGGTCTGGAGAAGACACCTCCAAAGCAGCATTAAGTTCTTCGAGCCCGTCTCAGCAGCCTCTCCTGACTGCAAAAACCCCACTGAGTCCTAAAGGGAATACTCCCAGCACAAATACATCTCAGGAGCACTTCCACCCAGTGGAACACAAACAGGCTTTGAAAAATTCATTCCAACCACCCTCGCTGTCGGGTTTTGGCCAGGTCGATGCTGTGCCTCCCAGACAGGTCCTGCAGCCCAATTTTTCCCATAATAACCCTAGTATGGGGTCATTAGATATGTGGAGACCATGGTAAAATGTGTTTTCAAATGTTTATCCTAACCTTAGACACTCTTATGTATGTATCTTATAGATATGTTTCTTTACAACACTTGTGGAGCAGGTCTGCTCCCGTAGGTGTACTAAAGACCAGGGTACTTCAAGCCGAAGTAAACCTATGTGTAGCCTGCATTATAGAAGGCTGCTATTATTTTGTATTTATTTAATACATCTAAATTATTGTATAGAATCCTCTCGTGCTCTTTAGTGTATATTAATTATATAATGTTCTTGTCTTACATTCCTAAAATAATTAATGTTCTATCAATGAATATCAGATGATGACAACAACCCTCTCTTGCACCAAGCTCACCTCTGGGATCTCATGCAGCAGCTGACACCACAGAACAAAGCAGCAAACAGCCAATCTCCTTATTTTTGTTATTGTTACAACTATTCCTGTGCAACCATGGGAGATTTCAGTTCTGATTCCTGCAGGAATGCTGCAGTGCTGAAAACACAAAGGGAGAGACTTAGTTTAGACGTTATAAACTGTTTAGAAATATTCTCTGTATTGCTCAGTGTCCACACATTGTTCCTGAACATACTGACGCAACTGTTCAACAAGTGAGCTATGCGTATGTCACCTGTAGTTGCATTTAGAGATTGGCTTTGTTTATTTTCTAAATAAACTCTTGGAAGATAGCGACTGTGTTTCTCCCATCCTCCTTCTGCCTGCTCTGAACACAGTTGATGCTTTGAATAAAAGCAGTGTACACACACACACACACACACAGAATCACCTGGATCATGGTAACGTCTGTGAGTGACAAAAGAAGTTGGGAGCTGGGCTTGTCAACCTGCAGCTGTACTTTGGATTTGACTTACAAGAGCATTGCAGATGGACTCTGACAGGCAGAAGGCCAAACTCCCTGCAAACTGTACCCATCAGAGTGGGACAAACCCGCTCAGCTCGTGACATTCGGTCTCAGTTTTTCAACTCAAAGGCAGTTGAAAGCTCTTCACAGTTACAAGAAAACAAACACTGCTTATACAAATTAACGGCCACCCAGTTCAGAGGGGCTAATGATGCAGCGCCATCTATTTGATGATGCACTGAAAGAGTGAAAACCATCACCTCTGATTTAGCATTCTGTTCTGCTTAATAGAAAAAGGCAGCAAAGCCGCAGAGGCTCACAGGTCTTGATAACAGGCAGCCAAAGGGATCTTGGAAGAGAAAAGACACGAAAGGCAGGTGGCAGAGATTATCACACACACCGCTGAGGTCAGAGAAAGCTGCATGTGACCTGAGCACCCATTGCTGCACTGCTACAGGAACCTCCTCTGCCCAGAGCTGGGCCACAGGGCAGGTAAAGCAGCAGATCCCAACCCGGAATAGGGCCTGAAACTCACTGCTTTCTTCTCGATCATTTTGGTAATGCACCTTATCAACTTGTGGTAACCTCAGCGCTGTGCTGGGAGAGGGGCTAGGAAACACTAGTGTTCTCCTGTGTTTTGACAGCACGGACATAAGAACATACTTTTCCCTAATGCTGTAAATCCTCACTGACTATAATTATCAGCTTTGGTTACTGCACTGAAAAGAGATCAGTGAGAAATACGTATTTCTCCCCATTTCTGGCTGTTTACTCTGCATTTGGACATACTTTGTGCTCAGTGGGTTTTATTATTTCCTGTTTCTAATCGGTGCTTTTTTTTTTTTTTTCTTTCGTGGGTGCAGAGGGAATGGTCACACAGCAGCTGGAGAGAGCTTTAAAAATAGCAAAGTGAGACTGCAATGCTCAGCCAACAGCCTCTAGTACACGATGCTCATTTCTCAGCGCCTTCTTTTCCATCCAAGGGGCTCTTTTAAATGATCCCATGCCACGTTTCTAAGTTCCTGGTGTGCCTTTCAGTAAAGAAGGTGTTTCTTTAGGAAGGCAGATTACCCCTAACCCTTCACGCACATAAAGTCAGCTGCTACTTGTGTTTGACAGAGGAACCTGGTTATTGAGTTCAGATTCACTGGGCTTTATCAGAACCAGAACGGTACAAGAGCAGTACTGCTTCACTCTTTGGTACGGGCACCTCCTCCCCAACAACCAAAAAGTACTGTCAGCTGTACCATCTCTCCGGGAAATAAGTGTCCAAACATCTGCACTGGGCTCTGGCAGCAGTGCCTCCTGGCTGCTGCTGTGCCCCATTGCAAGCAGGGCTCAGCCTCAGCTCTGCACTGCAGCACAGCTCCCACCGGGGGCTGCATGCAGAAGGAATGAGAGGTTTGAAGGCACAGAGGTGCCACACACTCAGATCTCAGCCCTCAACCCAATCCACACAGTGGAAGCAGTCAAGACATGCACCCAGACCAGATTGCTCAGCATGGGTTCAGCCAGGCAGACCTGTTTACTGAAGGCAGCCTCCAGCTGTGTCCAACCTCACACAGAGCATGGAGCACACGGGCTGGGACAGCCTGCTGCCTGTCTGAGCTTTGTGCCCTGCCAAAGTGCTGCTCCAAATGTGTATTTGTGAGCTGAGAGTTAAGAGGCCAGTCCCGATGTACATGGGGAGTGGCTTCTGCTCCCAGGTAACAGCCATAGGGCGAGAGGTGATGGCCTCGAGCTGTGCCAGGGCAGGATCAGGTTGGACACTAGGAAAGAATTCTTCTCAGAAAGAGCAGTGAGGCACTGCACAGCTGCACAGGGAGGTGGGGCAGTCACTGGAGGCATTCACAGCTGTGGAGATGTGGCACTGAGGGACGTGGGCAGTGGGCATGGTGGGGTGGGCTGGGGTTGGACTTGAGAACCTTAGGGGTCTTTTCCAACCTTAATGATTCTGTGATCCTATGATTCCTATGTCCTATGAGGACAGCTGGACCTGAAGCTCAGGACTCCTATGCAGCTTCAACACAAAGCAATTAAAGATTTATGCAGTAATACCATGAGCACAAGTAGACAAAACACTCCCGTACACAGCAGCTCTGGTCATACAAACTGCATTCCCAGAGCAGCTCTCACTGAAACCAACAGGAGAACTCCCACTTCTTTCTCAGGAAATGGGACTGAAACCTTTCCCAAGTGGGAAGGCACAGAGGCTGATGGGTATATAACAGACTCATGACTGCTCAGCACACAACCCAGGCTCTGCACTTTCCCTTACTTCTCCCTTTGCTCCAAGGACACCAGAGCAGCCCCCTTCTGACCACGCAGTCCCACAGTCACTCCCAGCAATCGGGCCAAGCTGCTCCAGGGGCTGAGGAGTGGTTCTGAGCCTCTGCAGACTGTTACTCATGGTAGTCGAGCACTTTGCTTAAAAAAAGAAGCACAAGCCACATTCTCAGAGTGCTCACCTTGTGAGAATGAGGCTACAGACCGCTGCATGACCTCTGCAGGACCTGCAGAGGGGCTCCTAATCCTCTGCACTTAAAAGCAGGTGACCCTGCAAAACCTTTGCGAAAGGAGCAGAACACTGCCAAACTGCTTTTAAGTACACAGCAGTGATTGTTAGTGCCAGCAGTTAGATAGCACTGTACTCCTGAGGGGAAGCAGGACACCGAAGACTTCAGCTTCCCTTTATATGTGTCACTATCTCACAGCTTCCCATGTATACATTCCCATCCTAACAGAGCCTTACTCGTATTTCATCTCACGAGATGTAACGTGCTGAGAACCTAACCCGAAGTCAGTCACATTTGTCAGAGCCTTCACACACTTATGAATAAAGTAGCAGAACTGAAACCAGCTCTGGATCTGTGCTGCAGAGAGGTGTTGTTTGTACATCTCAGCCCTCTAAGAATGCAGTTTGCTGCCCCAGGCACTAATTGCAGACGTACCAGAGCCTGGGAACTCCGTCTGCTTCTGGGACTGCTTTGGTCCTTGCATTGGGTGTCACCAATCTTTCTGTGCGTTTGGAGTTAAAGAGCTTGTTAGAACATTTCCATCACGTTTTCTTTGGCTAACACAACAAATCAAATGGATTTTTACAGCTCTCTTCAGCCCACTGCCTCCTGTCAGCAGATGGGCTCTGCCAGCACCCTAATGGGATTACATGGGGTCCTGGCCAGGCTCTGAGGAGCCATCTGTCACTGCCCAGAGCACTGACCCCACTGAGGCAGCAACCCCCAGCTCCCCCTTAGCCCAGAGCTCGATGTTCCTCCCCTGCACACCAGGAGTAATGTACTCTCTTAGGAAAGCTGTATTTTCTACCTCCTGGGAACTGAGAAGGAAGAGATAAGCATTCCACAGAACAGCAGTTTCGCAGGACAGAGAAGGGAGCCAGCAGAGCCATGGCTGAGCTCCTTGTGCCAGAGGAGCTCCCACTGCAAGGCAGAGCCAACCTGCACACTGGAACTCCCCTGGGTCCGTCCAGGCTGTGGGAACAGCCACTCGGGAGCAAGCAGAGAACCCCAAGCTTCCCTACCCCTGCCCTACTAACACTTAGCCTATGTGAGTGCAAAGAACAAAGCAAAACGCTCCAAGATATGCACTCTTCCCACCACAAAGGCTGTGAGAACAAGCAATCCACATGGGATAGCAATCGCATCACCTCGTGCCCTCCTGAGAAGTGCTGAGATATCACTTTGATAGGTGTGAGAGGAGAACCACCCGGTCACTGACCACAACCAAAGCAATACCCAGACAGACAGGTTCTCCCAGCCAGACATCCTGCGGTCAATATTCCCTGGGGAAAAGCAGCGCGGTGCCTCCCGGTGCTCCCTGCTGCTCAGCACTGCACGCAGGAACACTGACTGGGAGACCACTGCAGCAAGCCAAACCTCTGCTCTCCTCGGCCATAACATCTGAGGGAATCTGATGAATCTGGGGAAGAAAGGCAAGAGCAAGCTTTCCAACACAGACCCAGATCTTGAGAGGAAAGCTCTGAGCCCCTCAGCTCAGCTTGTCTCCTCCATAGAGCTGGGCTGGCTGTCAATAGCTCTGAGCCGATGCAGTTCTAGAGGAGCAACACAGAGTAGTAGTGAAGGGACTGGTATGGGCCATGGGACATCAGCCTTGTTCTAAGCCCAGCTCTCACTTCCATCTC